CTATATTGTGTGTTTGATAAGAAGCAATAAAAATTTCAGGACACATGGATTAAGGAAACTTAGAACTGTAGTTAAAAAGCAGTTTGCAGCTACCTAGTAAGTCCCATCTTCCCTAAACCAAGGACTCTTAAGAGTAAATGGTTTGCACTTCTCCCCAACCAGAGGGTATATAGCTTAAATCACCCTAAGTCAGGGGGGTAAATAAGATAATAGAAATCCAATTAAGAGAATAAATCTCATTTTGGTGCATCAGCATAAAGCTAGTGAATATTCTATTTCTACCCATAAGCTCTCCCCTAAATACCCACCTTTCCAAATCCCTGAAAATGAAGCCCCCAGATACCTTGCCCATACCATTCTCTTCCCCCTCTATTCACCGCACCCCTGAGGACATATCCCCTAACCTCTAAGGGACCCCAGGAAAATTGCAACCAGGGGAGCAATGGGCAGCAGCACCTCATCCTGAGCCAAACCCCTGACCCTGTCTCCAAGGTCCCCCTTTCCCCCCTTTTCTCTGACTTCCCAAAAAGCCAAAGCAGCCCCGCCTAGGCTCTCCTGCTGGTTCTTTATGCCCTTCCTTGTGTCACTGCCCTAAGTAGGTTTGGTGAGGTCGGTAAATTCTTGCTTGTTTTTCTACACTTTTGTCATTTAACGGAAAGCTTTCCCTAAAGAAAACAAGAACCGAGTTCTCCAGGTAACATGTTCATCCCCTTGTTCATAGTCTTTATTTTATACTTGACTAGAGACCCGGTGCATGGGGGCGTGGAGGGGGAGGAGGGGGGTTGTCCCTCAGCCCAGCCTGCACCCTCTCACAGTCTGGGAGCCCTTGGGGAATGTCCAACTGACAGTTTAGGCCCGCTCCCCTAAGCCACAGTCTGGCCTCCCTCTGCAGGAGGCAACCAGTGGGCCAATCAAGGGATGGTGCTAACCGGCCCTGCCACCAGTGGCCTTCCTCTACAGGAGGTGACTGGCGGGCCAATTGGGGGATGGCACCGGCTGGCAAGCAGCTGGCACTGCCCCCACCACCGCCGGTCGCCACCCTCCGATTGTCGTCCCCTCCCTCTGCCCACTGGCACCCACCTTGGCTGGCCTGGCGCCACCTTCTCACCGGCCCCATCCCCCGCCAACCTGTTGTTCTGCCATTTGGTTGATTTGCATATTAGGCTTTTATTATATAGGATTTTTTTTTTTTGGTTTGGTGAAAATATAGGGTTTTGCTAGCAATGAATAATCATTCTCATCTTCATCACATTCCTATGATGTCAATATCTGGGATTCTGATATTTTGTGATATTTTCCTACTGGATAGGAAGTTTACACATTCTCTCACCTTGGCGGGAGAAAATATGTTTTTTTTTTAAATATATTTTATTGATTTTTTACAGAGAGGAAGGGAGAGAGATAAAGAGTTAGAAACATCGATGAAAGAGAACCATCGATCAGTCGCTTCCTGCACATCCCCCACCGGGGGATACTGAAGTTGCTAGAAGCAGTTTGGGAGCCCAATGAAGGCAACCCAGGTACATGCCCTTGATCAGAATCGAACCTGGGACCTTTCAGTCCACAGGCCAACGCTCTATCCACTGAGCCAAACCGGTTTCGGCGGGAGAAAATATCTTAAAAAGGCTGGAGGGAGAGAAAACATTCATGGTAACTCATTTCATGTGGTTGGATTTTTATTTTATTATTTATTTTTACTTCATATTTTTCAAACTTTCTGCAATGAAATAAAATATATTTACTTAAAGGGGCATGCAAACTTTACATTAAAGGAATTTGGTTACATGCTGATTTACTTATTTATTTTATATATTTTATTGATTTTTTATAGAGAGGAAGGGAGAGGGATAGAGAGTTAGAAACATCGATGAGAGAGAAACATCGATCAGCTGCCTCCTGCACACCTCCCACTGGGGATATGCTCGGTACATGCCTTTGACCAGAATTGAACCTGGGACCTTTCAGTCCGCAGGCCGACGCTCTATCCACTGAGCCAAACCGGTTAGGGCCTTACTTATTTTTAAATAATAGTTTATAGAGCCCAGCTGGCATGGCTCAGTGGTTGAACATTGACCCATGAACCAGGAAGTCACGGTTTGATTTCAGGTCAGGGCATATGCCACTTTCCTACCCATTGCACAGGGAACCCCTGAGCATGATTGTCTAGAAGTCCTAATGGAGGTTTACTCCAGCCAGTCAGATCTAACAGATGGGCCTTTACAGAATCCGGACAGAGTATTGTTCACGGATGGCAGTAGCTTCCTAGATGCAGGAAAAAGACAAGCCGGGTAAGCAGTGGTATCAAACTTGGAGGTAATAGAGGCACAGGCCCCGCCTGAAGGATGGTCAGCGCAGAGGGCAGAACTTTGGGCCCTAGTCAGAGCCTTAAATCTCAGTAAGGCTAAGCATGCCAACATCTACACTGACTCGCGCTATGCCTTTATGGAGGTTTACTCCAGCCAGTCAGATCTAACAGATGGGCCTTTACAGAATCCGGACAGAGTATTGTTCACGGATGGCAGTAGCTTCCTAGATGAAGGAAAAAGACAAGCCGGGTAAGCAGTGGTATCAAACTTGGAGGTAATAGAGGCACAGGCCCCGCCTGAAGGATGGTCAGCGCAGAGGGCAGAACTTTGGGCCCTAGTCAGAGCCTTAAATCTCAGTAAGGCTAAGCATGCCAACATCTACACTGACTCGCGCTATGCCTTTGCCACCCTGCATGTCCATGGGGCCATATACAAGGAAAGGGGGCTCCTGATGGCCAGAGGAAAAGGAATCAAAAATCAGAATGAGATACTGAAGTTGCTAGAAGCAGTCTGGGAGCCCAAGGAAGTAGCCGTCATCCCTTGTAGAGGACACCAAAAAGGAAAAGACTCACTGTCAGAAGGGAACTGTCACACAGACACAGCAGCAAGGCTAGCTGCTAAGGGGCGGGTGGCGCCATTGAGGAGCATGCTGGCTCCTGAATTACCTGAACCTCCGAAATACACCCCTCAAGAGGAAGAATGGGCCCACGAGAAGGGGGTAAAAGGACAACGGAAGGTTGGTGGATATTCCTAGATCATAGGGTATACAGTCCACAACAGTTAGCTCATAGAGTAGTACCCATTTCTGGAAGATGGCTCAGATACTATCTAATTGCCCATCTCCCCTCCTTATGTGCCTCAGCCTCTCAGAGCTTCCTCCTTGCACAGAACAATGCAAGGCAGGCTCCTGTAGGACTGATAGAAATTCAGTGCTGTGGGCAGGCTCCCTTTGAAGATCTAGAGGTAAACTTTACAGAATAGGGCCTAGTAGAGGAAATAAATATATTTTAGTTTTTGCACCTTTTCAGGCTAGGTTGAGGCATATCCTACCCACACAAAGAAGGCGAGAGAAGTCACTAAGGCATTACAGAAGGACATAACTCCATGGTAAGGAATGCCATTAACCATCAGGTCAGATAATGGCCCAGCCTTTGTAGCTGAGGTAGTAGAGCAGGTAGCTAAGATCTTAGGAATTAAGTGGAACTTACTTACAGCCTACAGGCCCCAGAGTTCAGGGAAAGTAGAACACATGAACCGGACTCTCAAACAGACTATGGCTAAGCTATGTGCTAGGAGACAACTTATCCTGGACAGATATCTTATTCTCTTCTGTTACCTTCCTAGCCATCATCTATCCTGAGGTTTGTTTGTTTGTTAGTTTGTTTTTATCATCTGGTCATCTCTATTCCTGAATATATCTTCCTTATTGTATACTTAGGTTTTATGATAGTATATGTAACTATTTGTTTTGTTTTGTTTTTGTGTGTGTCCTTTTAAAAATATTTTTATTGATTTCAGAGAGGAAGGAAGAGAGAGAGATAGAAACATCTATGAGAGAGAACCATTGATCGGCTGCCTCTTACACACCCCACTCAGGGGATCGAACCCATAATCCAGGCACGTACTCTTGACCGGAATCAAACCTGGGACCCTTCAGTCCCCAAGCTGTTGCTCTATCCACTGAGCCAAACCGTGCATTGGTTGGCAAACTGCGGCTCACAAGCCACATGAGGCTCTTTGAAACTTCGTGGCCCATGCGCAGAAATCAGTATTTTGTGGAAGAGCCACACTTAAGGGGCCAAAGAGCCGCATGTGGCTCGCGAGCCGCAGTTTGCCGACCACTGGTAGAGCAACCATTCATTTTGTTCGGTTCTTCAACTTCTCATTCGTCAATCTTAAGAAATATGTAGGTGTGTGTGTTCCCAGACCACGTGTGTGCGCACCCTTCTGAAGGAGTAAAGATATTTGCCTTGCTGCCTGGCTCCCAAATGTGCTTTGTATTCTACCAGGACCGCTGATTTTGGGCACTTGCATTATTTCTAACAATACTATTTAGGACAATTAATACTTTTCAGACTTTGGAGAGGGGTTTATATTCTAGTGCTGGGTTGTTGGACAAAAAGCACATTGCAAAGCATCTTTTTAAAAAAAAAATCTTTATTGATTTCAGAGAGGAAGGGAGAGGGAGTGAGATAGAAACATCAATGATGAGAGGGAATCATTGAGTGGCTGCCTCCTGCACGCCCCACACTGGGGATCGGGCTGCAACCCAGGCATGTGCCCTGACTGGGGATCCAACCGTGACCTCCTGGTTCATAGGTCAATGCTCAATCACTGAGCCATGCTGGCAGGGCGCAAAGCATCTTTTATGACAGTTTAAGAGAAATCAAACTGAAGTCTTCTGTTTATATATGAGCAAAAGCGCACTTATGCGTTTGTCTTCACTTTCCCTTCCCAATAAAAAAAATACAGCACTCAAAAAAAAAAAGTCTACATGTCGGCCCAGTGACTGAAGGGTCCTGGGTTCAATTCAGGTCAAGGGTACATACCTTGGTTGCAGCCTGAATGTTGGACCTGGTCCCGGCATGTGGTGGAGGCAACCAATTGATGTGTCTCTGTCTCTCCCAGTCCCTTTCACTCTTTCTAAAAAAATCATTGGAAAAATATCCTCGGGTGAGGATTAACAATAACAACAAATAAAAGCAGTGTTTCCAAGTCTGCTTTGAATAATTAAAAAAAAAATATGTATGTCTCTAGAAGTCAGGACTAGCTGTGGTCTATCCAATGCTAATGCCACGTAAGATATCAAGAAGTTTTGTTTTCTCATGGAAGTCTTCTTTCTTTAAAGAGATCATACCAATGGTCAACACATAAGAAAGGGAAAGGTCTGTCCACTACATTGGTTCTAAAATTTAGCTACACATTGGTGTCACTGACAGGAACTTTAAAAAATACTAAACCCTGGGCTCCACCCCCAGAGATTCTGATTTTGTTGATCTGGGCCGTGCCCTCGACATCAGGATGTGGTTTTTTTTTTAAACTCCTCGAGTGAATCTAGTTGTTGAGAGACACTTGTCTAGTCCAGTGGTTTTCAAACTTGTATAATGTAGTCAGGGATCTTGTTAAAATGCAAATGCTGATCAGGTAAGTGTTGGGTGGGACCCAATTTTGAGATTGAGTCGCATATGAATACAATTACTTCAAGAATTTCAATTCTCTCATTTTCTAGAGCCAACTGGGAGGTATTTTAAGAATAGATGAAGTCATTTTAATGGCCTACTATCAGATGTCCTCAGATGGCTCTAGAATTCTGCAGGAACAGCATGTTTGTATGCTGACGGGGAAGATCAAGTGCTGAAGGAATAGTGAGAGTGCAATAGAGGGAGCAGCAAGAATTACAGAAATATGCCCTTGAGCAGTTCAAAAGGATAAGATCAAGTACAAAGCAAGAGGTATTGACCTAGGAAAGGAGTCTGGACCTTTCATGCAAGGTGAGTTCACAAGGCAGAACTCTACCAACCTCATTTTGTAATTTTGAAATTTCAAAATTTCTCCTAATATTTCCAAGATTCTCTTTACTAACATAACAGCTTTTGTGAGGAGGGCCTTCTTCTCAAAGCTGAACACAGGAAAGGAAGCAGTTCTGAGCAGCTCAAAACTAGCAATATGAAACTATTAAAATAAAAAAGAGGTGTTTTTTTTTAACAATTGAAATTGAGAAAGAAAATTTTAGTCTTCCAACTGATAAGTGGGCAAATGGTGGATCTGCATTTTGCACTGAATGCTGAGGAGACTGATAGATAATTGCTTGAAAAAGAAGCTAAGATCCTGTAGCTCTGTGAACAAAACTCTCCAGGACACTGTGGGTGTCTCTTTGCAGGAGATCAAACCCTGCTGCTTGGAACCGATAAGCACCCACAGATCCACAGATGAATCTGCTTACAATTTGCTTCTCAGATACATTATTTATTATTTCCATTAATAGCATTTCTGGGAGGACAGCTATAAATGGACATGTCCTAAATTTAATCCAGATTGATTAACAAAAGCGTGACATTTAAAAATATATATATTTTTATTGATTTCAGAGAGGAAGGGAGAGGGAGAAAGAGAAACATCAATGATGAGAGAGAATCATCGATTGGCTGCCTCCTGCACGCCCCCCACTGGGGACCGAGCCTGCAACCTGGGCACATGCGCTTGACCTGGGAATCGAACCTGGGACCCCTCAGTCTGCAGGCCGACACTCTATCCACTGAGCCAAACCAGGTAGGGCAAAAACATGATATTTTTACGACTATGACAAATAAAACAGCAGTAGTCAATCATAATTTGTGCTCAGTGGAGAAGCTGTATGTATTAACTCCTTACTGAAAGTATATAAACCTTCTCATTTCTCCAGTCACTGTGAGTTATCACACTCTCTCCTTGCTCTTCATGAAGGTTCCTCATGAAGGAGTAAATAAACTTTGACAGGTCCTCAAGCGTGATATGTCTGAGAAAATTTGCATTGAAAAGATTATGAGGCATGAAATAATCTGCTGGCGTGTCTTACCTGGCCAGAAAAAATAAGCCAAAGCAGATGTTTTTGTGTACAAGCAACATATACATACAGGTTTTGTTAATTTCTACACAATTTTTGATCAAATGAATGGGTGCATGTACACACAAAGCATAACTATAAGTTTTAATATTTTTATACTAAATAAAATTATATATTCTGAACAGTAAATATATCTAAAGTAATAAATAAAAATGGCATTGAAATAATGCAATTAATGTGTTTAATAAGTAGCTCTTTTACATAATGTAAAAGATTGGCCTTCATGGATAGAAATTAAGGGAATATGGTCTTATTTCAGACTTTGTCGAGATTTCAAATTATGGTGGGTTAGAGGAACTGGGGGAGGGTTGAAGGGAGATTAGGTCAGTGTAGGATCTGGGCTGTGACCACGAATTCTGTGACTTCAAAGCTGGGAAAGGCAGGACATATAGTTCCCAGGTCCCTTTTTATAGTAAAAGATAGAGGAGAGTGTTAATCAAAGGGGAATCTATCAAAATCGACTCATCACCAGGAGCTTAGTCACTGGGAGGAGCAGATGATAGGATTGGGCTTGTCCTGGAGCTAATGAAGCCCGGCACAAGCCCACTCAGTCCTTGTCCCAGTGGTGCACAGCTCAGAGCCTGTCACGTCTGCAAGGACCACTAGAGAGATGGGGAGACGGTCAGAGATATGTGAAACAAGCTGTGCCCCAGAATGGGAGTGGGTGCAGGCAAGCACAGAAGAGGAACCCCACAGGGCAGCGCTAAACTCTCTCTAGCCCCCCTAAGAGCAAGGTCAAGGTGTCCTGGCCTACTGACCTGGGGGCGAGGGGGGTCAGCAGCCCTTCTCCATTTTGACAGTCAAAAAAATCTAAAGGTGTATCTATACAACATCCTCAGGTAGTGGTGTTCTTTTCTTCAAAAAAAGGTCTAATTAGACTTGTAGAATAAGAACATCTAGTAGTACCTGCCTCTAACAAATTACTAAGCATCAATTAAATTTCCAGGAATCCCGTTAGGTTGTTTCTATACTGGCAAACCCCCAGACAGGGAGAAAGTAACTTCTGATCCTAATCAGGTCCCCAAAGGAAAAGAAATGGTCAGACCTACTGAATTTTGGCAAGAGCATATCTTACACTTCTGCTCATTTTATAATACTCTATTCACCAGAAAACACCAAAAAAGTGTTTCTTTTTCATATTGATAGAGCAGATACCATAGAATATAATTTAGAAGATTGAAGCCTTTTATAGCTGTAATATGTTTTATAACATAAAAGATCCTCAGCTAATTATATATGAAGTAAAACGTCTGGGATGGGCAAAGAAAAACCCTGAAGATTACTGTTAAAGGTGTTGGGTGATGCTAAAACATAATGTAAACATCAAAAGGCAAATGAACCTGGCCAGTGTAGCTCAATGGTTGAACATCAACCTATGAACCAAGAGGTCACAGTTTATTCCTGATCAGGGCACATGCCCAAGTTGTGGGCTCCATCTCCAGTGGGGTGTGTGCAGGAGGCAGCCGGTCAGTGATTTTGTCTCATCATTGATGTTTCTCTCTCTCTCTTTCTCCTTTCCTCTCTGAAATCAATAAAAATATATATTTTAAAAAGGCAAATGAAGCCCTAACTGGTTTGGCTCAGTGGATAGAGTGTCGGCCTGCCGACTGAGGGGTCCCAGGTTCGATTCCAGTCAAGGGCATGTACCTGGGTTGCGTGCACATCCCCAGTGGGGGGTGTGCAGGAGGCAGCTGATCGATGTCTCTCAACGATGTTTCTCACTCTCTATCCCTCTCCCTTCCTCTCTGTAAAAAATCAATAAAAATGTATTTTTTAAAAAAGGCCAATGAAATTTCTTTTACGAATTGATTCTCAAGGCCCTTAGAACATGTTATAAAGTGTAAACCTACAAAATTTGTTTCATTTTAAATCTGGTGCAAAGTGTTAAAGTTTGGGTTGTTTTTTTTAATCTTCACCTGAGGATATTTCTTCCATGGCTTTGACAGAACAAAGAAAAATGCTCATTAGAAAGGAATCTAGAAAGGAATCTAAGCAATGATTGGGCTTGTGCAGTAAATTAGTAAAGGTTTACAAGGCCTGTTTACACACCATTTGACTTTGGATTCTTTTACTTCTTGTGATAGGTTGTCTCTCGGCCCTTAGGAGCAGGAAGCACCTATCAGATGGAGACTTATCTCCTGCTCTTAGGGAGACAGGTAGGTCAGCATTTTCTTCTTGCAGGCAGTTTCTTACTAGTAAGTTACTTCCATTCAAAGTAATCAGTATGTCTTTGTGGGATATCTTCCGGCAGCCTCCCTGGGTCCTGAGAGCCAGTCACACCAAATCTGAAAACTAGGTTACGATGTATTACCAAAGGCCCATGAAATTGTTTGCTCCCGAACCACAGCCTTCATCAAATTACAATGCAAGGAACCAGGGATAATATCATCTCAGACTGTACAGCTTTTACATGCCATTTTTACTCTTTTGCAGGGACAAGTCCCACACAAAGTGCCCCCGTTTCTAACCTACCAGGACTGGTCAAGACCTTTCTACAAACGAACTGCAGGATCCTCACTGCTTGGGCAAGTGTTCACTACAGTTCACACTACTTGAACTGTGAACTGCCAGGAATGACAATCTGGACAAGAAAAACACTACTGAAAAGTTCTGGTACCAAAGATAATATTCTTGATGTAATATATGCAAACTGGTTTAAGGATACAAAAGATTTTAAATGAGATATCACTAAGCAGAACTAACTTTGCCCCGCTCCTCTTCTCCATTGCACATAGATCAAAGACCATTTGGATATGGAGAAGCAGTTTAGAGTCTAAGTAACAGAGTGTAGATAAGGAGATATGTTTCCTCAACTCTCTTAGGGTCCCTGGATGGCTCTGAAAATTAAACTGGCAAAGACAAATTAACCAGAGAAAAGTATCCAAATTTACTTAACATAAGTTTTCTGTGACACGGGAGATTTCATAAGTAAATGAAGACCCAAAGAAACCAACCAGTGTGTTTTTAGGCTAGGTTAAATGAGGAGTGTACAGTTGTGGAAGAATATTATGGGTTAAGGAGTATGAAGTACCTGTAGTTAACTTGGGAAAACTGAGCAAGGACTGTTTATTCAGATTCTTTTGGGCATCCCTTTGTCTTCAGAGATAAGCATGGTCCTTTCCTCCAGGTATAAGGAGGGTGACAGTTTATAACCTGTTTCAAGAAAGAAAGGAGAGGGTAGGCCCTTTCAGTTTCTGGTGTGTTTTTTTCTCAAACGCTTTCAGTTTAAAATATTTAATATGCTAAGGTACCATATATGGGGGTAGCATGTCCCGAACCCCATCAAGAGCATAATGTGAATGAAGGAAACTTTGTATCTTGACACTATGTCAGATAAAGTCCCAGATTTGGGAATATGGAATAAATACCCTCTTTTAAGTGATATGAGAGTATAGAGAATCCCACTTTCTTTTTTGTTTGTTTGTTTGTTTATTTTTTAATTTTATTTTCTTGTTTAAAGTATTACAAATAGTAGAACATATATCTCCTTTTTTTCCCCCAGTGACCTTCCCCCGAGAATCCCACTTTCTAAGTAAGTTCTTAGATATGGCAAGCCATTAACTAGAACGAGGTCTTGTTAGGGTCCAGCCCCAGCGGGTCCAGGGGTCCCCCAAAGGTGTGGATGGAGTTGGTGAAGAAGGAATGACATGGAGACAGCGTTTAGTTGGTCAGCAGCCTAGCCAGGATCTTATTACATCTGTATTTATACCAGTTGATTTTAATCCTGTCAATTTCTATTCCAAAGGTTAGGGCGTTTCTTATCTCCATTCCAGGGAGTAAAGATTATGTAGCTTAAAGATTATGTAACTTGTTCAGAGTTAAAGTGATTAACTACCCACCTGGCATTTAGTTAAGGGGTTTTATTCCCTCCCTAACTTCAGGGAAAAATCGCTACCTGGGGATACAACCTGCCCGGAGAGGTGACCTTGGTTAAAACACATAGCGCCAAGAAGGTGAGCAAACATATTAATAACAGTATGCCATATACACCATGTCCCTTGAAACATATGCTGTGCAGATGTTTCTTCCCTGCAGCGACTGTGTCAAGCAGCAAGGATGGACCAGCTTCCGGCAGGGTCTATTTAGTGTCTCTACCTGAGGGCTAAAATAGTTGCTTGAAAATCGCAATAGATACTGCAAATTAAATTCATAAAAGATAATATTCATACTCCAGACTTCTTGATGCTCCCTCTCTGCCAGAAGCTGGTCCACCCTTGCTGCTTGACACAGTTGCTGCAGGGAAGAAACATCTGCACAGCATACGTTTCAAGGGACCTGGCGTATATGGCATATGTTTGCTCCCCCTCTTAGCGCTATGTGTTTTAACTAGGATCACCTCCCTGAGAAAGGTTGTTTCCCCAGGTGGGGATTTTTCCCTGGAATTAGGAATTAACAGGACTAAGGAAGGGAATAAATCAGTAAAACCCCTTAACTAAGTGCCAGGTGGGTAGTTGATCACCTTAACTACGAACAATCACGCTTAAGCTACATAATCTTTACTTAGTATAATCTCCTTCAGTTACTTCCTTGTAGCTTAAACAGGACAGTAGAGTAGTGACCTTGGATTGGAGATAACAAACACCCTAACCTTTGGAATAGAAAGGATTAAAATCAAATGGTATAAATACAGATGTCACAGGAGAATAAAAAGAGAACCTGGCTAGAGAACCTCGCTATGCTGATCAACTGAATGCTGTCTCCGTGTCATTCCTTCTTCGCCGACTCCATCCACACCTTTGAGAACCCCTGGACCTGCTGGAGCAGGACCTCAACACCTCTCAACACAAGGTCAGGGAAAAGTAAACATTTGTTTGTTGGAAACCTCAGTTTTGTGAGGTAGCTATGCTATTGGAATACCTAGGAGTTCCAAAAGTCTCTAGCCAACTTTCACACTTCAATCACAATAGTTCAGTTTTTGTCAGGTTTTCATGGGGGTGAGGGGTTGGTGGGACAATGTTTTGACTTGAAAATATAATTTTAAGAAAATAACAGTCTAGGGCAGTGATGGCGAACCTTTTGAGCTCAGTGTGTCAGCATTTTGAAAAACCCTAACTTAACTCTGGTGCCGTGTCACATATAGAAATTTTTTGATCTTTGCAACCATAGTAAAACAAAGACTTATATTTTTGATATTTATCTTATATATTTAAATGCCATTTAACAAAGAAAAATCAACCAAAAAAATGAGTTTGCGTGTCACCTCTGACACGTGTGTCAGAGGTTCGCCATCACTGGTCTAGGGGGGAGATTTAAAAAAAAAAAGAAAATAAAGTAATACATTGGCCACAGGTCAAGGTGGAAATAGTGATGATTCAACTTTTTCCATCCTGAAGAAAGTCCAAAACTGCAGAATTTCTGTTGGCTTTACATGTTTGTCAATCTCAGCTTAATTAATAGTTAAAATATGTAGAGTTAGTTGATTCCTTAATCTTACTATGCAGTACAGATGGCTGATACTAAGATTGCAGAGATATGAGCAGATTTGAAGCAGGGAATGGTGCCTAAATGTGCTGTCTACTTGTATTCTCAAGGATGTTGGACCTCAAAGTTCAGACTTTTAAGGAATTTTCCATTTAAATCAGTGTCTTATTAAGATTGTCAAGAGAATTCTTTGTCTAAGGTTTAACATGTTGTACAAGCAATAGACTGGTCAGCCATGGGGAAAAATTCCTTTTATAATCAAAAGAAATTTCAAAAATATCACAGGAAATGCATTACAAAATTATGAGAGCCCTGGTGCTGCCCCCTTCTGACAGGGTCTGGCTCAGGGAGATGATAGGCAGATTAAAGAAAAAGGACAAAGTCCTACATTCCTGCCCCTGTCAAATTGTGTACATCTGCTTTACCTACCCTGATCAGCTTGCTACTGAAGCCACTACCAGTAAGACCTTCCATCCACACTTCACTACCATGGACAGCTCCCTGTTGTCTCCCATTGTCAAGAGTGAGTTAGGTGCTAGTCTCTGTGTATTCTCAAACACAAAGGTCAAACTCTATACGTGATTCTAGAAACTCTGCACTTGGCTGAGATTGACAAAGTGGCAACATTTTCTCCCACCAGAGTGAAGCTGGTGTGTGCAACAGAGAAAGAAGGGAGAGCCCACCACCAATCTCTCTTTAATAAAGAAATTCTATTACCTTTCTTGATCACTCTCCTTGCCACTTATAGACACTTTATTTTTTTTAATATATTTCATTGATTTTTTTACAGAGAGGAAGGGAGAGGGATAGAGAGTTAGAAACATCAATGAGAGAGAAACACCGATCAGCTGCCTCCTGCACACTCCCTACTGGGGAATGTGCCCACAACCAAAGCACATGCCCTTGACCAGAATCGAACCTGGGACCATTTAGACTTCAGGCCGATGCTCTATCTACTGAGCTAAACCAGTTAGGGCATAGACACTTTAGGTGGGTGGTAAGCTAATCATAACAAAATCTGTTTCATAACTCTCTCTCTCTCCTGTGAATTGTCACCTGAGGATATTTTTCCCCCATTGATATTTAGAGAGGGTGGAAGGGAGGAAAGGATGGAGAGAGAGAGAGAGAGAGAGAGAGAGAGAAAGAGAGAGACAGGGATGTGAGAGAGACACATTGATTGGTTGCTGGGGATCCAACCTGCAACTTAGGTATATGCCCTTGACCGGAAACTCAGTTATGACACTATCAATCTAAAAATAGCATCAGGGCCCTAGCTGGTTTGGCTCAGTGCATAGAGTTTCGGCCTGCAGACTGAGGGGTCCCGGGTTCAATTCTGGTCAAGGGCACATGCCTGGGTTGCAGGTTCAATCCCCAGTAGGGGGCATGCAGGAGGCAGCTGATCAATGATTCCCATCATTGATATTTCTATCTCCTCTAAAATCAATAAAAATATATTTGAAAAAATAAAAATAGCATCAGATTCCACAAGTTAAGGCTTAATTTCTACAAGACTGATCACTAATTCAGATGCCAATCACACATCATAAATCCTGTGCTTCTGATGAACCATCTACAAATCAGAGGTTTTCATGACTCCCTTCTTGAGTTTGATTAATTTGTTAGAGTGCTTCACAGGACTAGGGAAATTCATTTACCTACTAGTTTATTACAAGGCTATTAAAGAATATGAGTCAACAGCAGATGAAGTCAACATAGAAAGAGGTCCAGAACAAAGAAGCTTCTGTGGTTTAGGGCCCTGCACAGAGGCACATGGATACTTCTGGTTCCCTAACCTGGAAACTCTAAATATCATCCTTTTGGGTTTTTGTGGAGGCATGACTCACAGGCATAATTGATTAGATCATTGGCTATTGGTAATTGAACTCAATCTTCAGTCCCTCTCCCCTACTGGAGGTCAGTCAGAGGTTGGGACTGAATGTTCCAACCCTCTGATCAGAAGGTTGGTTTCCCTAGCAACCAGTCCACATTCAGATTACCTAAAAACATTCCAGTCACCTCAGTAACATAACAAAAGAAAGATGCCTTAACATTCTTATTAGAAAATTCCATGGATTTTAGGAGCTCTGGGCCAGGAATGAAATACAAACCAAGTATATATTTCTTATTATAAATCACATAGTTTTCTGTAATACCGGAGCAAAAGTAGTAAAGGTGTGTGTCTCCCGGGAACAGAAGCAAGGGAAAGCCCCATTTACGTGGTCTACTTGAGTAAGAGGCAGAGTTGTGCCAGCGGGCCTTCTCAGAAGATTGGCTACTGACATACTATTTAATTTGCCTCATAGTTTGTCTCTTCAATATTTTTAGGAGTGATTGAAAGAAATACATTTTGGAAATCTAATGGCCTTTTCTACCTCTCTGCTCTTTAAGCAATTTTGCCATCTACATGGTAAGTGGTCAATATTTTATTGAATTGATTAATTTATTTATAAAAGTTGCATCATACTGCAAATAGTATTTTATACCAGTATAGATACATCTCATTTAAGATTTAGCTTTTCATCTTGATTAAAATTGATATTAATCAGTTTTCAAATGCCTTTTGGAAATACGTTATTTCTGTGAACTTAATCTTTATACTGTTTGCCCACTCTACCACTGGGTGCTATTTCTTTGGCTCATTGACATCCAAGATATAGATGACATTTACCTTAGTTCTTGACACCATCATCTCTATAATTTCCACTACCAAGGGATAATTGGTCTGTCTCTAAATCTCTTTAATCCAGTTTATTCTCTACTCTATATTTTATCTCATCACTTAAACCCTTCAAGTACCAGTACTTAAAATTGGTCATTTAATAGTCTTAAATATCTATATAACTAAAAGCCTAAGCGACCATTACGACCGGTCAGAGGCTATGACACGCCTCTGACTACCAGGGGGCAGACACTTAACACAGGGGTTGCCCCCTGGTGGTCAGTGCACTCCCACAGTGGGAGTGCCCACCAGCTGGGCAGCAGCCACTCCCTCCCTCAGTAGTTCTGCAGGTCCAATCTCCAGAGAATGGGCCAGGCACCAACAGACCAGTACCACTGGCACAATTCTGCCAGCATCCCTGGCCTCCTAGAAGTCGGCCTCAGGCACCGGGGCTGCTTCCTCTCCCTAGATGCTCTTCAAGGAAGAAAATACATAAAAGTGGCCGCCAGGTGGCTCCCAACAACCGGGGTGAATGTCAGTGTGATGGATCCAGATTCTGGGCCGGCAAGGGTGTCCCTCCCAGAGGGCCGATCATGTCCCGGCCCCACCCCTCTGGGGACCCCACCTGTGCACATATTTGTGCACTGGGCCTCTAGTTTAGTATAAAACCCTTAGCTTGAGTTGGAAAAAATTTCAGCCTTCTGACGTCTCCAGCTTAGAACAGCTCTAATCAATTCTCCAGTTACTTTTCTTTCTTTTTTTTAAATCCTCACCCAATGATATTTTTCCACTGATTTTTTAGAAAAAGTGGAAGAGAGAGGGAAAGACAGAGAGAAATATCGATGTTAGAGAAACACATTGATTGGTGCCTCCTGCACATGCAGGGCCCAAAGGAGCCTGCAACCAAGGTAGGTGCCCTTGACCAGAATCAAACCTGGGACCCTTCAGTCCACAGGCTGACACTCTATCCACTGGAGCCAGCCAATTATTGATTACACTAGAAGCCCGGTGCAAGAAATTTGTGCAAGAGTAGGCCTTCCTTCCCCTGGCTGCCAGCACCAGCTTCCCTCTGGCACCGGGACGCAGGCTGCCTTCCCTCAGGCCACCTACAGGCACCCGGCACCTGGGACCTGGGCTGGCTTCCCTCTGGCCCCAGCTTGGTCAGAAAGGACGTCCAGAATGATGTCCGGACTAATTAGCATGTTACCCTTTTATTATTATAGATGGGAATTTAGGACTACCGATTTAAGATTTTTTTTTAAATTTGGAAATTTGAATTTTGATGTTGAGTCTCGTGATTTTTTAAAAATATTTTTGTATTTATTTCAGAGAGGAAGGGAGAGGGAGAGAGTATAGAAACATCAATGATGAGAGAAAATCATTGATTGGATGCTTCCTGCACGTCCCACACTGGGGATCCAGCCCACAACCCTGTCATGTGCCCTGACCGGGAATCAAACAGTGACCTCCTGGTTCATAGGTTGATGCTCAACCACTGAGCCACACGAACTGGGCTTAATCTCATGATTTATAAATGTTGGTCATACTTCCAAAAAAATTTGTTGCCCTGGGTGGTGTGGCTTAGTTGGTTGAGCGTAGCCCTGTGCACCAAAAGGTTGCTGATTCCATTTCCAGTCAGAGCACAAGCCCAAGTTGCAGGTTCAGTCCCCCATGGGAGGCAATCAGATGATGTTTCTCTCACATTATAGTCTCTCTCTCTGAAAGAAAATCAAATATATTCTCACACTGAAGAATGTTGACTATGATCTGAAAGTCAAATTTAACTGCCGTTTGATTTCCCCCCAACAGATCTTGCTATACAGAAGCAACCAGTTATGCCCTGTGATACAAATCCAGAGCAATCCAATAGGAACCATAGTAAAGACGAAAGAAGGAAAAATACCAAATGGAGAGAAGGAGAAGGAGAAATGGAAGAAGAAATGGAAAAGGATGGTAAAAAGAAGCTGGAAGAGGAACAGGAGGAAGAGAAAAAAGAAGAAAAAATGGAATGTGAGGAAGAATATCCGGAGAAAAGACTAGTCAGCAAGCCCCTCATGGACACTCTCTGGGCAACGTTTAAGTTAAACAAATGCCCCACAAAAGGACATAGTCTATCGCTTGCATTTGAATTTAACATGACAGAAAAACAGGTAGGACAACGTATTTCTTTTTTTAAAAAAAATATTTTTTTATTGATTTCAGAGAGGAAGGGAGAGAGAGAGAAAGAAAGAGAAAGAGAGAGAGAAACATCAATGATGAAAGAGAATCATTGAATGGCTGCCTCCTGCACACCCCGCACTGGGGATCGAGCCCGCAACCCAGGCATGGGCCTTTGACTGGAATCGAACCCGGGACCCTTGAGTCCACAAGTCGAGGCTCTATCCACTGAGCCAAACCAGCTAGGAACAACATACTTCTTTATTCACAGATTCACTTATATAGTACTATTACCTATTTAAGCCAATACCCTTATTTTTGGATTAATCACCTCCTCTCCCCTCCCCCCCCCCCACCTCCCCTCTCTCTTTGCAGGTAAATCAATGGTTTTTTAAAAAGAGAAAGAAATTCAAACAAGAAATGTATAAGCAAAAATACAAGAGAAAGCTCAAGAGGTAAGAACATTAAGTTGTAAGAAAGTGAAAATGGAATGCAGGGTTTGGCAAAACTAGGTTTACAGTTGTTCATATGAAAGATAATACAATAGTTACTAAATAATAATAACACAAGAATAAATTGTGTTTTTCATACTCATGATTGTAAACCTGCTTTTACCATACTGTGCATATTGACTTTGGGGGATAGATTGTATTCACATAGTTATTGGCTATCCCATAAACATTTTCATGTTTCTAGCCAGTGGCAAAGAGCCATTTACTGCCCTGTTTTTCACTCTACTCAACACACAAAAATGCAGAGGTACGTGATCATTCCACTATTTACCATGTAGACATATTAGCAAATATACAACTGTAGCCATTATATATTTTTAAAGCATCTTATTTTTATATTTATTATTTTTTTACAATTTATTTATTTATTTATTAAAATTAAATCTTTATTGTTCAGATTATTACAGTTGTTCCTTTTTTTTTCCCCCATAGCTCTCCTCCACCTAGTTTCCACCCCACCCTCGGCCCTTACCCCTCCCACTGTCCTCTCATCCATAGGTATATGATTTTTGTCCAGTCTCTTCCTGCTAATGTTCTTTTAATTTAAAGGGAATTTATTATTTCTCATAATTACTAGTTATTCAAAGAATTACTGTAAAGACACTGGAGAGGAGCCTCATTATGGATGGCTACACTACGAGAGAACAAATTCAAGTCACAACACAAGGAGATTGGGCCTAAACTGGCAGTCAGACATCCTCCAAGGGGTCCCGTATTGGAGAGGGTGCAGGCTGGGCTGAGGGAACCCCCCACCCCCATGCACGAATTTTGTGCACCGAGCCTCTCGTTAAGTATAATGCTTAAAAACACTAACTCAGAAAACACATGAACCTGGTGTTCAATTCTCAAACATACTTTTACTTATTTACCACTATGTGACCCCACCTTCCCTCATGTGACTTAAGAAGTTTTCTTCT